GGTAAACATTTTGATTTTAGGTTCTTGTTGCTGTTGTTCTTGTGTGTGTTCTTGTCACTGTTGAATTTACACGGCAAAATAGCAATACTTGCTTTATATTGCTTTTTATTTAAATTTTTGAAAACTGGTCACCGCCGTCACCGGTCGATTGACGTGGTTGACGGTTGCGGAAAAAACACAACACAAAAGTAAGGTTAAGAATTGTAGGCGTTTTCGATTTTCCTCCTAAAATAAAGCTATATTCCGACGTTGCCAAAGTGTTATTTTATATTCACCTCAAGTAAATTCACCCACGACTCAAGAATACAAAACAAGTGAGGCAGGGGAAAATTAGGTGGTGAAATTTTTCACCGGGTGAATATTTTCACCACTTACAAGAATTGGCCCCCTGGGAGGATTGGACGACCCAACAAAATGTTTCAAGCTAACAGGGACCTTTATTCTGTGAGGTACTTAAATTAAAATCAATCCACTCAGAGGCTGATTCAAGAATATCTTATCACATATTTCATACTGTAAGAATTCAAGCTGCACATGTTATTATCCTTAGTGCTGATCAGTTGTATTTATCCTGACGATATACTCGAAAGAACTAGCAACTATTGACTATCTAGGTCGATGGTAGGATGCCACTTAGCTGCTGAATCTCTTGGTGAAAGAATATGTTACAAGAATATGTACCATTTTGCCAGCATAACATTTGGTATAAGTGGTTGCGATAATAGGTACTAATGAAAAAACAGTTTTTCAAAGCTGCATCGGTAGATTTTTTACAAAAAGCCTTAAAATATTCGGGAAACCTCTTCATCTAAATGCTGAATAACTAAAACAGTTAGAAACTGCTGAACTGCTGATCTGCCAAAACATATAGGTTTCGGCTTCAACTTAATGGAAATAATATGTAGATTTGCATTTGTTAAGGGTTACACTACAAATATTTATTTGGAAACATGCACATCAAACCCAATTGGAACCTATCGACTATTCTTCATTTGGCTATGAAAAGAACAATGGTAGGTACCTTACGTCCACTACAAATGATGAAGTGGCCTTTGCCAGAATCATTGATTCAGCCTTGTAAATGTACATCCTAATTGTCGAACAATGCCTTGCAGTTGTATAGAGTCAAAATCACCCTGTATTTCATTGCGTAAATGCATCAATAATGATTGCCCAAATAAAAATGACTAATTATGTCTCTCGCTTCGATATTTCTATTTGTAGGTATTTACTGTTTCCTTTTGTAAATTTTTTAGAATAAATCTTTTTTTAAATTATTTATTCTATTTATTGTTTACTTCATGTTTTTTTGTTGCTAATTTTGAACCCACGACTCCTGGAATTCCGGCCCCATGCTCTAGTAAACTTTCAAATAATATTAATATTAGCTATGTCACCATACCTCAAGAGGGCGGAAGCCCAGGGTCGTGAGTTGAAATCCCACTAGCAGCAGCAAATTTCAACAGACTTTTTTATTTAAAACCCTGTCGTCTTTTTCACCATAAGAGAAAACTGAATTGGAGTTATGATAGTCATCAAAATCACACATATAGCATATGCTCCAGGGATTTTCTCAGCAGAGAAGATTGAAAAAAAAAAAAAAAAATGGACCAAAAAATGAACCGGCAAGAACCGGATTATTAATCTTTGAACTTTTCTCAGCTACTATCCATTGATAAAATGCAATCCCAACATTTTGCATACTCATATCCATCTGACTCCCGGTCTATACCTAATAATAGTTATTTATGTCATTATTGTCATTTGGCCAAGAAGTGGGTCTTTTTGTGCCTAGCTCGGCGTTTGAAGGCCGATGCCTAGCGGAGGCTCACATTTTTAATTGTTTATTCACTTAATGTCAAAATGATAAAATTTCACTCCTATAAGTCACTGCTAATAGGTGGCGCTACAGCTCTGGTGTCCGGAGTACTTCCGTTCTAATAGCGATTTCCATTTATAGAATCAGTGAGAAAAAAGAAAAAAAACGTATCCTCAGCCTTCTATTTTAAACGCTTTTAGAAAAAGATGCGCATACACTCAGTACGAGTACCTACGTACTGGAATAAATAATAATAACACGAATACTTAAAATACAGATACAAACAAAATAAATATGGACATTTGTAGTTTGTGAATAAATCTTACCTCAACGTCAGAACAAACATTAATAGTTCGAAAATCGTCCCGACTGCAGAGTATGAACCGATTGGTACAACATTGAATAGTTCTTGAACACTTGGACTGTCAAACATCCTCCGGAACAGATTTAACCGGAACACCCGTTTTTAGTTTAAAAACATAGTCCTAAATTTGATCCCACTTTTATTAGCTTCCTAGATAGGAAGCTATGGTGATAGCCCGATTTTGACCATGTCAAAATTTCATTAGATCTTGACGTTTTGGATCATTTTAAGCCGTTTTGGCAAGGTGGCACGTTTCCGTCTGTGTAGGTGTGTGTATGTGTGTGTGTGTGTTGGCATTTTTCTGAGAAAACGGCTCGATGGAATTTGATGAAATTTTGGAAATAGGTATAAGAAGACGTGTAGGGAAAAGTTACGCAGAGATATAGGAAAAAAAATCATTCCTCTTCAAGATATGACGTTATTGATCTTTTTTTTAAATGGGTACGCCATCTTTTTTTTTCATTGATTGGTTAGAGCTCATTTTGCTTTAAACAGGGTGACTGGTAAATGGACGTATTCCTTTGAGGAGGTGAATGTAGAGCCCATTTGCTACCGATTAAACATCATTTACCTCTATAACATTCTCAACGGTTTTTGAGATATTTTTTATTTTTATATTTAAGAAATTCACTTTTTTGGGAGGTAAATATTTAAAATTAACGGAATAATATGGAACATACCTTATTTAGGTAAATGTTAACACCAATATCTGATAACGTTTCTATTGTAACACTTGGTATTAAAAACAAATCGAGTAATTTTTTCTTCATATTGGTAACTCTTACAGATAAAACTTATTTATTTAATAATAAAACAAAAGACTAAATCTGAAATAATGGGCCTTATTCTGAAGACAATTATATCGAGAGCTTTTATTAATAATTTGTACGTTTGATGTACCATGAAATTTTCGAAATTTTTAAGCATAAATTAACCATTAGTTTGTAACTTGACAAGGAAAGTTAAGTTTAAACCGAAAAAATTTAATAGTTAATATTATTGTTTGAAAAATTTTCAATGCTAATATTTGTGTAAGTGTGTCAGCTTATAATTTGAAAAGCGACATTTAAAATGGCTTTTATTATTTTCCCTAATTTTAAATATTTACCGGACAAAGGAGCGAATTTCTTGGAAATTAAAAAAGAATAAATATCTTAAAAACTGTTGAGAATGGTATAGAGGTAAATGATGTTTAATCGGTAGCAAATGGGCTCTACTTTCACCTCCTCAAAGGAATACGTCTACTTACCAGTCACCCTGTATAATACAAAAAAAAAAAACAAATTAAAAAAAAATAATAATACAAATTAAAAAAAAAAATCTCAAATATCTCAATAGGTTTCATTGGGACATTTTTGAAATTGGAAAATTGAAAAAAAATTATATTAAAACCTGAAAAAATGTCAAGATCTATTAAAATGAATTCATGGTTTGAAATGACAATAATTAATGACAATGACAATCATTATTTAGGTAGTTATTTGTCTAGGAAGCGTTATGTCAAAAATTTGACATCTGGTTTTTTCAATAATTTAATTTATAACATTGAACATAAAATTTAAAACGAACAAATTAGTGTAAATTATGAATCAATTATGCTCTTGAGAACTTGGTCGTTGACGCTGCTGCCTCTATAGCGAGAAGAAATCGAACAAATTAGCTCATACATAAAGATTATTATGGTCCGCAACTAGAGGGTGGCGTACTAGGTGCGAGCCAAGGCAACTCGGTACTCCTGGCACCCTAGCCTCACTTAATAAAATCCATCTACAACCTAAAAGGGCAAAAACTATAGCATCAAAATGATATTTTGTTACTTTTAAGCCAAAGTATTTGAATTGGATTGGCCCTGAGTGCCGAGGGTTCTAGTTGCGGCCCTGTGACCGCTTCAAGATAAATTTATTTTTTGAGTTGAACATTTTAAAATAACAGAAGACAATAACCACATTCCTATTTTCTTGGATAAAAGCCAATAACATTAAATATCCATGAGACACAAAACTATTATTATCTTTAAAATAATACATATTCTCAATTGCTAAACGGTTTATCAAAGCAAAATCGTTTAGCAGTTAAACAAATGCGCACGATAAATGGTTTTTAACTAACATGCTGCACTAATTTTTAAAATTTGCATATTTCCTCTTACAGTTTGTTTTTAAACTCTTTCTATTTGGAATAATGAAAATTCTAACTTTAAGTACCTAAGCTTACTTATCTGAGCTATTCGAGAATATGATCATCTACATTTACTTAAAGAAAAGTTTCATAATCAAAATCAGGAAAGCCTTCTCAAGCTACAACTTCGCAAGGCTCAGGATGAGAAATAGCCTAGAGTGATTGGCAGGACCTGCGACAAGGGTCGCAACGGAGCTGAAGTGGTGACCTTGTCGAGGGCGCCACATCTAGATCAAAATATGAGCAGAGCTCCTTTTTAGACCTTTCTAAGCCTAAATTCGTAGGATTTTTATAAAACAAACTCATCCACCATTCGGGTGCTCGCTTATAGTTGTAGATGTACACCATCAGAAGCTGTTTAAAGTCAAGAGCTCTAAAAGAAACTGGACAGTGCTATACAATAAAATACATAAACTTTAGACCCGTATGTCGTGCTCATTGATCATCCCGTGTAGGTATGCGGTACAGTTTCGCCTCGAAGGAATATTCTAGCCAGGTAGGTAAAGGTGATCAGTTAACGATATATTGTGCCTAATTTGAAGGTTCTACATCGCAAGAAAATATCACAACAAAAATTATTGTCTACAAATTCGGCTGCGTCATAATTTGTTGACGAGAAAAACCGAAATGTTTTCTTACCTTTGAGATTCCTTTCTTCAAAAAACCCTTAACTGGCTGAGGAGCACCAACAAGCGGCTGCCTAGGAACTGCCACTTCAGGCATAACATGCTGTACTGGCCTTTTATTTTTCTCAGCTATTTTCACCAAGCTAGCCATCCTTTTATCACACATTAGCTTCACGTCGTCTGTCCTTTGCAATACCTATGACAAATAAGTGTGATAACTATTATATGCTCTATAAATCTGTTGCCATAATGTAAAGCTAGGTAGCATCCAGGGTGGACATTGAGATGTTGTTTCCTTAACCTAGTTTTTGGTACAATTATTACATTTAAATTGTCGCACAGCTGAAGAATCTTACAGAAGTAACTAAAAAACCAAAAAATTGACGAAGTCTTTAAGTTAATTATCATGCGTTTTAAAAATTTCACCTTTGAAAAAAATTGAATGATTTCATGAGGATTTTGATTTTGCTTGATGTTAATATCTAGAGAATAGCGCGAATGCATATATACAAAGCAGAAGATCAACATCCTTTAGTTTTTCTTCGATTTTTGATCTTCCCACGAATTCCAATTTATTTCTGAAACCCACAACTGCATCCATGAGAACATCTCTTCAGGAACTATTTGTTAACAAAAAAAATTCTAACAATAAAAATGACGTTATTATAAGATTGATCCCCCAAAATTGGCGACTTAGTTCACACAGAGTTTGAGCCACAAAACTAGAGCGGTAGGTACATAGGAATATTTTCTTTAGTGGTGCCGCGAGACGAGACTAGACGAGACTCAAGGTTAGTCTCGTCTCGTCTCGGCATCTCTTGAGACGAGACCATGACTTAGTCTCGGTCTCGAGCGCCAAAGTCTCGTCTCTTCTCAAGTGGTCTCGTCTGGTCTCCAGTTATACAGGGTGTCCGGAAAATAGCGTAAAAACTCTTCACTACGTGGTGGAGGACCCTTCAAGATACCCCAGAAAAATAATTTAAAAAATCTGGTGGCATTCTAAAGAAAGTTATTTGCATCTTAATTTTTATTTCCGAACTGCCACAGTGAAAGAGCAGTTATTTGAAAAGTGAAAAATCACAGTAAAGAGTAACCGTGATATTTTAAAAAATATGAACGTCAAATTTAAAAAAAAACAAATGTGGGACCAAACAGTTTTTGAAAAAATAATCACCTTGTAATTTTTTTGAGAATTAATTAATGGGATGCTTTCTACATACTTTATCTTCAGATCTAATTTCCAGTTCTTCCGAAAGTGCTTATGCTTTAAACATTTCTTTAAATTGATCTCACTACTGGCTAAACCGAAAGTGGAATCTGAAAATTGAGTAGGTATGTAGAAATCATCACATTAATTGCTTAAGGTGGGTTTAGCCAACTCTTAAAGGGGGTGTAACCCTAAAAAACGACTTAAGGATGATTCACGGTACACCGTAACGGGCCCGAGCCGAGCACGTTCCGCGGAGTGAACACCGAGCCCCGTCCGAGCGTTCTGTATATGTTACTCCGCGTTGTGAACGAGGATCACGTCTGTGCCGAATATACTACAACACGGTCCCTCCCAGTCGAGTATTCAACATACATGAACAATTCACCGCTGGTGCCCGGAAAAGTGTTCATGCTTGTTGCAACGTACCGGGAACGCGGCTGATCCGTGGAAAAAATGTACCAGAGCATTTCTGTGACGAGGCACGTACGCGCCCGATGGCGGCTCGGATCGTGCTCGGTCTAACATGAATGCATATGTGCAAAGTTTCCTGACAATGTTTGCCCGTGGCTCCACCGACGCACGGCACGGGCCCGTCACGGTGAACCATGAATCATCCTTTAAGCTACTTAAATGAAGAAAAAAATTCTAAGATCTCTCGTGAAAACCGCAGTCCTATATTCAAAATAGTCTCCGAGAAAATTCCTCGTGAAGATAAATTATGCAGGAACTTGTGATGTCTCAACCGCCGAAATTGCAGTCTTCTGTTCGTTCAGTCATCAGTGACCTTATATTTTAAGTGGTTGCAATTCGCTCTAGGAGATAATTGTTTTTTGTTTTGGAAAGTTCTTACACGTGTTGATACTGTCCCTGATAATCCAGTGTGACGTCACAAACACTTAGTTGTAACTTTAAACCGCCCTAACTAGTGCCGGTTTAAGGTACTTTTGCGCCCGGTGCTACTTTTAAGCATCGCCCTACGTATTCCTAGTTTATACAATCTGAAGTAATTGTATTTTTATATTAGGCAGGTATGTTTAAAAAAGCAGTTCGAAAATCCGGAATAACATAATTTATTATAAATAGATTCACAGAACATGCGTATGGCGAGTAGGCGTCGAAATAGATCATAGGCATGTAGAGGGTGCTAATGTCGAACGTTGGTACATAACCTTACTTAATCAAAAAGTCTGTCTTTGTCAGACTCAAAAATACAGAGATTAACAAACACGTTTGGTGCAGAAAGTGTCGGTTAATGCCATGTTGGTGCAACCGTGCAAATTAACAAACAAGCTAAGCTAAAAGGTTTGTTCGGACATAGTTCAGAATCAGTTCTGCGCTTGCCCATTTGTTTATATCGAACATATATAAACAAACGCGCAACCGCAGATCAATTCAGAACTGATTCTGAACTAAGTCCGAACAAACCTATTGTTTGGGTTAGTTTGGATTTGTTTAGAACATATTCCAGGAAATAATTAATAAATAAACGGGGATTTTGTAAACACAACAGAAATAAATTCAAAATTTCAATTTGTAACGAGTGCGATTACCAAATTTTCACCTAGGCGCCCCCAGCGGCAATTTTAATAACTGAGTTATGGCATGAGGTGCCAGTGACGCACTTGAGTTACTCGGAGCAGCTCAGGGTGCAGTTTCTTGACTCAAGGAGAAGAGCTTCTCGAGGGAACAAATATTTCGCACCCTGAGCTGCTCTGGTGGAGTAGTTCACGTGAGTCACTAGAAAGCACTTCGTATTTAAGCCGGAGTCTCATGCATCCGTTTTCTGACGAAAGTTGTCCGAAAAGCCTCCTATTCTGACATAACAGTATAAAAATATGTCAGAATAGAAGGTTTTTCGGACATCTTTGGTCGGAAAACCGATGCATGAGACTCCGGCCTTAATTCGAGAATCGCCAGTCAAAGCACACACAGGGTTGCCCAGATGTCAAATGATAAAGGAGTCGACATTGGTCCCAATTTTATTAGAGTAAATGCAATTGATACAAATATCGTATGTGAGTATATCTGCTAAAGTTTTTATTCTAAATATACTACCTCTCTCCGCGCACCGCCCGCATTATATTTACAGATTCACCGCCCGGTGCTATAGCACCCAATAGCACCCATGTAAAACCGGCTCTGGCCCTAACTCGAAAACGGACGATCGTATCAAGATGCGGTTTAAATATTTATTCTTAGATTTTTTTGCTCTAAAACTTTCAGTTTTGGGTCACACCCCCTTTAATGCATTATGTACAATTTTAATTCATAATGGATAATTTTTAAAACTCCACATTTAAATACACCTGTTTATACAACGCATAGTGGATAGTGGATAATTCATAATTCATAAAGTTGACCAACTTTTAATTTTTACGAATTATCCATTATGCATTAAGCACAAAACGCTAGAGCGCAAGCGTACATTAATTGATTAACTATTTTAAATGTTGACTGTGGTCCAACTATAACCAGGGTTGTGATTTCGCGGTCCGAAAGTAATCAAATTATTCTGGTTCTTGGAAAAGTGGTTACTTTTGGACCTGAAATCTGGTTAACCAAATGTCAAAATAGTTACCGGCTATCGGATGTCCGTTATGTTGATTTTAACTGTAAATTCTGTCAATTATTTTTTTATTTCATATTCGCGTTCCTCAAGTAACCGGAATTTTCAGTAACCATCTGTCAACCGATTCGGTTACTTTGGTTATCGTTTGGTTATATCCGGACTATAGCCTTTGTTTTGGTTTTGCTTTATATAACCTCAAAATTTTGTTGTCTTTTTTCCTGTTGTTTTCGATGGTTTTTGATTTGAAATCGAATTTTTACCTTTCCAATAATACAAAGGGGATTTGTCCAAAGAATATAAAGCCTAATTTATTATTTATTTCATTATTTATTAATTTTATGAAAAATAACAAGTTTCAAACTCAACTGTCTTGTCAATTCTTAATGCGCAAAAATTATGCGTTGTATAAACACCTCTTTTCTCTTATGCATTAGGCCGTGTTTATGTTGAAGCTGTGATAAACGATAAAAGCAACGATACTATAATGATACTTTACATTAGTATCGTTGCTTTTATCGTGTATCACAGCTCCAAAATAAACACGACCTTACGCGTTATGAATTACGCATTATCAATTATAAATTAAAATTGTGCATTATCCATTAAGAGTTGGCTAAACCCACCTTTAGTATTAAAATTTACTGATTTCATATTCAAATAGCTCAGAAGATTCCAATAATAAAGCTATGAAATTTTAATTGTAAACTCGAGACTATGCGAGACTCTCGCCGAGTCTAGTCTCGTCTCGTCGAGACTTCACGAGACAAGACCAAAAGCCAGTCTCGTCTCGAAAAGTCGAGACAAAACGAGACCAGTCTCGAATCTCGCGGCATCACTAATTTTCTTTAAGCTGGGTTGAATTGTGTCAATATGGTGCATCCGGATAATGCTCACCATTCTGAAAACTATAGGTACAATTTAGAAATTCAATTTATCTTAATTACGAATATCTGTTCGAGTTGATTTAAATTTGATGATTGAGTTAATCAAAAAATCATTGATGTTTCCGCCAAAAATATCGATATGAAATTGCTCGGTATTTATTGTTTATGTTTCTTCGAAGAGTGAATCACTCGAGGGCAGTGAACTACTCGAGGGTTATGTAAACAAGTGTTTATCAACAATAGCCAATAAAAACCTCTAATTCAGAGAGTTCGTGCCTATAAGGCATGCTGTATGCGTTTAGAATGTTTTCTCTTTCTGGCAAAGTGGAATTTGGAAGCATTGTCTAACTGTTGGGACTTTATAACCATCCTAAGACGACACTATCGCTTAGAAAAAAATTAGAAATGATTTTCTGAATATTGGCACAACCAAAGAGAAAATTTATTATAAACTTAACTGCAATACCAATCTGAAACTGATTAGATAAACGTTTCAGAACATTTATGCAAGAGTCGGACATAAGGTATATTTC